CGGCAGCTGCGGCTCGTGATCTCCCGGTCAGCCTTCCCGTCCGCGGAGATGGTACATCCGAGGTACACAAACCGATCTGTCTGCTTGTATTGTACATCTGGCCGGCGGCGCTGACCGTGAGCGGGCGTTCCACGACCCCTTTCGGCAGCATGCACATGATCTCCGTCTTTGGCTCCGATACCATCAGTCCGAACAGGCCGGCCACGCGCACGATGCCCGACATCGTCTTCTCGAGACTCTCCAGCGAGCGCGAGACGATGGCCGCGTCGTCAGCGTAGAGCATGACCCACAGGGCCTCCGCGTCCGTCACCACCGTCGTCTTCTTCCCCGCCGACCTGCCGTTCTTGCCCATTACTCCACTTGTGTGCCAATCTTGACCATGTCCACCGTCATCTTGGGGTCCTTGTCGAACTCAGTCACGGCGACCATGAGCATCGCGGCAAAGAACAACTTGAACAGCAGCGGGGCCAGGTTGCATCCCTGTCAGAGGCCTTGGCCCACGTCGAACCATTCCGAGTACTGTCCGTCGTCCGTTCGGACGCGCGCCCTCATGCCCTCGTGGAAGTGGCGAATGACCGCCAGCATCTTCGGGGGCATGCCGAAGCTTCGGAGCGCGTCCCACAGTAGGTCTCGGTCCACCGAATCGTATGCCTTGGTGAGGTCGACGAAGCGTGTCAACGACCTACTGACTCTCACAAGCCTGCAGGTTATTGGTGGGTGCTAAATATGATTTCCCGTTGGACAGCGCCAAATATCTCCCCGCAAGAGAGGTCGCTGAAGGAGCAGAACATGTTAACCTCTTGGTTTCGCCGGATGCTTTCAGGAGCCCTCGCTCGCCCCACCCCGCAAAGCGCTTGTGCATGACTCTCCCCCATTCGTGCGACAGCACCCCGGGTGATTCTCCTCTAGAGATTACAGTATCCACAGAGACGGGGAGGTTTCTGCCCTGACCTGGTAAGCCGAAATATTCATTCTTTCATGGCAGCCTCCCCTGCCACCTTCCCATTCTCTGTGCGCGGTACTTATCAACTCCGACCGTAACTCGGTGATTCCAAGGACTTGTCTTCATGGTAAGTCTTGACGGTGTTAAGGTTCCCCGCCCCTGGTCTCAAGTGTCGCCCATTGGCTTGAGGAATTTTTTCTGAACACTACATAACACCGTCCTCAAGCAGGCCTTGGCACAAGACTACGGGAAGGCGGCTTCCGCCATGCTCAGCGACGAGACAAGGAAGGCGGTGGAGGTGGGTGCGGCCACTGGGCGGGATTCACGGATCCCCCTCTGTTGATGTTGGTGGTGGTGGCAGTCGTATGTCAGTCACTCAAATATGTGCCTCTTGTGCTACGTGGCCGTGATCGCAACAAAGCGGCCTCTCCTCCGTGCCAGACGTCACCACAAACACCCAGCTAGGCTGACAACAGCACCACTTGTTCCAACGACTTGTTTACACACTCCCACCGTCCCCAACGTTGAACGTGGGTTAGCAACAGATTTGGGTAGAAATGAGTTGTTGAGTCTTGTTCCGGATGCCCCGGTTGTGGCGCGTCTTACATAGCGCGGCTGTTTCCCCCACCGGACGTCTCTTGCGCTTCTCGTTGCTCAGGATATGTGCCGCCGATCGAAATCGCCATCCATCAATCACGACGACATTGACCTCATTCTTCGCTACTTGCTGCACTCGCAAGGAGAGGAGGGGGCGGTCGCAACTGCCGCAAACCAGGGTTGCGGCGGTGAGTCGAGGGCGGGTTGCTACTCATGTCGGATTTATGTTTTCCCACCCTTTCCCTTGCAATGTTTTCTTGCCACAGACACACCACTCGGGATTCGTGCTTTGGTTGAAACTTGTTGCAACTTATGCTAACCGTAGGTAGAGTAAGATGCCACAGCCCCTAGATCGACTTTCACAGCTCGAGCAGAGTACTCCACGAAGAGGATGCCAACATCAAATCACCCATTTTTGGAAAGGCCTTGACGGGAAGGATCCAACACCAACATTTTTGGCGGCGCCGCCACTGTTTTTTGCTGCAGAGTAGTCGACGTTCGAGAATTCGTCCAGGAGGCGTGGTAGCTTAGGTGACCTACGGTAGGCCGGTAGGCCACGGCCTCTTGTTTCTGCAACCCTGCTCGTGTCTACCCTTTCTCCTGCTTCTCTGCGGAGCTGTTGTTCACGCATGGCGGTAAGTTCCCCGCAGCTTCTGCAATCCGTTACCTTCAACCCGCTAACTTTGTGTCCCAATCCTCCTCACTCATACTTGGCAATGACCACAGGCCTCGATGCTGACGGCAACAACAAAGCACGTCGGGTGCAGCCGTCACTACCATCGTCCCGATGGAGACAAGTGCACCTGGGGACACGGCAACAGGACCGGAGACAATCGACCGAGAAGTGGAAGCAGGTCTACCCGAGGGCGAGAGGGGTCACCGATGATTCGTCATTACGACAGTTACAACCTGAAGGCGGTGCAGCCGAACGGACTTCTGTCCCGAATGACCAGTCCCATAGAGATGTTCATGGAACGATGGAAGCGTCGTGGGCGGAGCTGTCGACAAGTGGAAGCGGTCGCGCGTCGTCAGACGAGACGATGATGGGCGGGAGAGAAGGGAGGAGGAGCCTTTGGGTGTGGGCGGAACGCGGCGGGGCGCCGATAGGGCGCCTGCTATCGCTGCTTTCGCTCAGGGTGGCTAGCTGTGGTAAGCTGAAGCTTCTCGTCGCTTCCCGGAGAGTGTCATGTCTTGCCTAGGTCGAGCCCAGCCGTGTGTTTTCCAGCTTGACGCGTATCCTGCTGCCGTGGCAAAGATGACAGCACCTTGGGAGTTGACGGGCATATTGGGTCCATTTATTCCCCTGTCGAAGGAGCCCCCGTCACTTCACGCTTTACGGCGAGGCGTGTGTGTTCGTCCCATCTATTCTGGCGTAAGTTGACACACCTTCCGGTGTAACGGTTGGCGCATGAGCTGGAGTCACAAACATATTGTTTTGCTTTCTTTAAGTTTTTTCAGCCCACCCTTTCACGGTGCAAACTTGTGTTGATTCTTTTTTCGGTCGCCTTGTGTCGCAGACGATCTTGGGTCGATGTCGCTGCTCTGGATGTCTTTCGTGCGGGACGTGCGACTCTTGTGGGAAGATGGGGCCACCATCGCCAGAATGGTGGGAGTGGCAAGATAGATGTCTTTTCCAGAATTTTCCATTTTTCAGAGTCGGTCGTCGGACGATCCATAGAACGGGAAAGAAATTACTCCGAGTGTATGTTACGCCTTTGGGTGCGTCGAGCAGTGGTTGCTTTGCTTCCAGGGCGTATGTGCTGAATCCGAGTAAATTTCCCGGAGAACATGCAAACTTTGGTTCCGTTGTGTGCTGCCCGCATGGGCGCCATATGTTGGAGGCAATCCGTGTCGCTGCAGTGCCGAGTCCAAGCAAAGCTATCCTCTCGCCTCCTAAGTCCGAAAACCCAATGCGCTCCATGGCTTGTGGTTTGTGAACATCGCTCTCGGGAATTTTTTTGCCGACCAAGGTTTTCGCCCGTCGATTTTCTTCTCGAACGCCTGCGAAAATGTTCCCCCTCTCTTTTGCTTTCCTGCGCAGAAAACAGGGGCCCTCCACATTATCCTACGGGGCCCCCTCCAATCGTATCCTCGTAAACCCAACCAACCCCTCCTAAAAACAGAAAAGTATGGATCAACCACCAAATGGTTTGGGGAGCAGCCATCGCACGGAGACGATACAACCGATCATCCATACATGTACCTGTCTAAAATGTAGTTATACCGCCGCTGAAATTGCATATTAAGGACACCCACCGGCACCGCATGCCCTCCCCGCTGAAAATCGTCGCCCTTCCGCCTGCGAAAATCAGAACCCAATAACTGCGGTGGATGGCACGAGCATGTTCGATTGGAGCGCCAGCTGTACGGGCCAGGACCGGAGCGTCGCGTCTCAGCTTCGAGGCAGCAGGCAGGCGGACGGCGGCGGCGCCGATGGCAGCGATGATAGTAGCGGCAGGGACGGGTCATTGCCGCCGTGGAGCGATCACTCCCTCGTTCTGTACCCGGATACCCGAACGTGCCTGATCTGGCAGAAGCTGCAGATGCTGAACTGCTGTCGAGCGGAGGGGGCCCCGCAGGTGGATCTGCAGCCATCACCACCACCGTCGCAAGGTGGGTTTGTTCAGCGGTAGTTTATCCTTTTGGCCGAGGATGATGCTTGCCTATGCGTCGAAGCAGCGGCAGTGTCATACAGGATAAGGTCTCGACACTGCAGATGACTTGCCGCGGTTGTAGTGGGGGTGGAGCGCCTTTGATCTGAGGGATAGAGCAGGTGATGAGACCGTAGCCAGTCGGCAGAGCTATTTTGTCAGAGGGTGGTGTGCGTTTGCGAAAACTCGTGACTGATATACGCTACTTCTCCGCGAATACCTAAATCAGTTCTTGCAGTACGATCTATCTCTCAATTAACATTATTATCGAACGGACGATATGATTCCTCTTGAGATGTCCTCTTTGCTGAGGCCCGTATAATAGAATACCCCACAAGGCGTCCCTCCTGTCGTGCATTTTCTGTTCAGATGTCGGTGATGGTGCTGCCGACCAAGGCGGTGGTGAGAAGGGGCCGGGGGATGACGAAGACGAAGAAGCTTTCTTCGACACCCGCGAGTACTACCAGACATCGGAGGACGAGGGAAGTAGTGGTGACATAGGTGGTGGTCTCCAAGATGACCAGTGCGGCGCTGGTGATGTTGGCCGTGGTGGAGAGTGTGGTGCTGAGGATGATGCCCGGGGTGTTGTTGCTGCCTCAATCAGTGGTGCTGGTGAGGGTGGTACGGTTGGTGGTGTCCAAGATGGACATGATGGAGACCGTGATGCTGATGATAAGGCCGGGGGTGTTCACGCGGAACCCGGTGCTGGTGAGGATGATGAGGGTGTTCTTTCTGCCGCTACAAGTGGTGATGGCAATTCCGCCGCCGAGAGCGATGCGGTCGGAGATCATGCTGACGGCCTGAGCGGGTGCAACGAGGACTTGCCTAAGGATGCCTCCGAGAACCACCCTCAGCAACAACAACGGGACGAGGGCTCATCCGCCCCAGTACTCGACGACGAAACCGCCGAGATCACGCCAGCGCCTACTGCTGCTGCTACTGCTGTGGACTTGTCGAAAATCGGGGTGGGTCGGGAAGAGCTCGGTGTAGCAGGAGTTGCTATTGCGATCGTGGAAGACGGCGATGACCGCAGCGGCAGCAGCAGCAGCAGCAGTAGAGGTGGTGTCGATGATGAAGAAATTATTTCTTCGGGCGACACGGCAGAGACAGTAGCGTCGCCAATAGCACCACCGTTGTCAGCAGGAACAGACGAGGTTGCAGCGGTACCTGCATTGGCTCCAGCGACAGCAACACAATTACGAGAAGGGGAACCGGCATCACCTACATCATCACCACCGGTACCACCGCTGGGCGACGATGCCAACGAAGCTTTGCCGTGCGCTGTGGCGACCAAAAAGACCATGATAAGACCAGAGGAGGAGGACGTCGCTACGGCCGTTGCGGCAACGCCTGACGAGGCGATGTCTGTAAATGAGGGAGGAGATAACCCAACGACTCAAAACATGCTAAAAGCAGAACGGGAGGAGGGGGAGAAAGAAATGGGGGAAAAGGAAGAGGAGGAGCTGCAACAGAGGGTAGACTCGCCATTCGAAGAGGAGGAGGAGGGACAGGAGGAGGAGGAGGAAGAGGAGGAGGAGCTGCAGCAGAGGGTAGACTCGCCGTCTAAAGAGGAGCCGTCGAGTCCTCCTTCCTCTCCCCCGCCGATGGAGACAGGCGCGCGAACGGTTGAGGTACCGCGTAATGGTGACGGGGACGATTGCAGCGACGGTTTCGCTTCCGAGGACACACCGCCGCCGTCCTCCTCTGCAAACCCGGAAGAAGAAATGCCTGGCACGGCAAAAGCTTCCTTGGCGGCTGCCGGAGAAGTGGTCTCCGATAGGTACACTTGTGCTTCTCCAAAGGCTTCGATCTCGGACAATTCAACCTGTGCTTCTCCGCAGGCTTCGTTGGCGGCTGCGGGAGAAGTAGCAATCTCGGAGGCCTCGCCAGAGAAGCAAACGGCCATCATCGCGATGGACAACAGCCCCGAAGCATTGGACAACGCTCTCGGACGCCCAGAAGTTGCGCCCACTGCTGCTTCTGGGAGCACTGCTGCAGTCGGTGATGGTCCGCTCGTACCGCCGATGCGCCGCCTCTTGTGTTCCGGGGCGGCGGTGCGCCCCCCACGGCTGCAGGAGAGCGGGCCTGTAACTGAGGACATGCTCAAGCAGCAGACCCTCGGACAGGCCCCCGCTTACCGCGGCCGGGAGGTTCTCCTGGCGGATATGACGGCGTTTCGAGCGGAGAACGATGGCGGCGACCGCGATGCCGCGGTGTTTGCAGACTTCGTGCGGTGGTATCGTCCCGAATGTTGGCAGGTGAGCTCGCAGCCATGGCTTAGTGAGATACAGTTGGCCGAAACCTTGGAGGACTGGGAGCATCAGTTGCTCTCCAGATGACCTGAACGGTATCGTCTCACACGGCTGGTCGAATCCCGGGTGTGTCGGCCCAACAAGGAGGGAGGGAATGGATGTGCGGCCGTCGCGTGGCTGGCCTTGTTGTTGGCCATTGTGGTCAACGGCCTCTCCGCACGTCGCAGAGGAGGAGGGGGGATGACAAGGGTAAAAGGGGTTCGCACGTCACAAACATCCATATGCAACAATTTGGTCTCGACGTTAGACCCGGCGCTCATACCCGCACGGCACACCTCCCTACGTGATGCGGGTTGCCCTTTTTCCCACCGTTCTACTGTCTTTATTCGAATTACTGTCCGCACCGGCTGCGCCTTGCCCCAGGAAACAACTGCTGATGGGGAGTGGGTCAGTGCGTCGGAGGGGCGATTGGGCGGGAGGGCCGAAGACGACAAGCGGTTGGCATGGCCTGGACAAGGCCAGGTGAAAGCTGCATCGGAGGGGGGTGTTATCTTGCGTCGTATTCGTTGCACAGTAGTCCTTTCCCTTATCAAAATGTTGATCCTAACGTGTGTATCGTCGTTGTGGCTTCGCTCGTCGCACATGGCAGGTGGTCTGGAAACCTTCTGTGACCGGGCACCAGGGACAGGGGCAAAACTGGGACGAAACCCCTGAAGCAGATGCTGCTGACGAGCTCTCTCCCGGCGACCACTTGGGTCTACCGCCGGCACTCCCGTCCCCGTTCAAGCTCGCGGGCTGGCTCTCGTACTGGGGGCAAGCCGGCGCCGCGGTACAGGCCGAGAAGGAAGAGGAAGAGGGGGGGGAGCGGGCGCTGCCGCCCCCTCCCCTGTTCAGCGGCGTCACGGAGGGAGAGAAGGTTGGCGTTTCGCTCTGTGGTGGGCGGCGGAGCAAGCTTGTTGGTGTTGGTGCTGGTGCTGGTGATTGTTTCGTTGATGGGCACTCGTGATCAGGGATTACTTGTCGCCGACGGTGCTCTAGTCGTAAACTACTACTACTGCTGCTGCTTCCGCCGCCGGCGTAGAAGTCCCGTGATAGTCTACGCAACAGAGTAGTGGGTCGTTGTGAGACAAGTGAAGACAGGGGAGAGTGTGCGTTCTCGTGGCGCAGGTTGCTGCTGTGCTTGAATCCTACTCATTCCTCACACTCCTAAATTTGTCCAAACTAAGCCTCCTGTGTAGAAGGAGAAAGACAGCCTCATAAGGTTGCGTACGCATGCCATCTGTTGTGGCTTGCGATTTTCTCCAGGCGCTTCACTTCCTCGAGACAATATCCCCGGGCCCCCTGCTCGTGCAGCTGCTTTCTGCCCTCCTGGGGCTGTCGGTTTTCATCCTGGAGGAGGCGTGTTTGGGGGCGGGCAGCCTGCCGAGCGTGGAGGCAAGTAATCTGCATACATCCCAGAATCGTGAAGTAGTAGACGGACGGGTCGGCGAAGCGTGGGCTTCATTGGAAACCGTTTCTCGCGTCATCCCCGTCCCCCGCTCTCCTCCATAATATTTCCGGATCTGACCAACCGTGTTTCGCTTCACGTTGCCTTGCCTGCGTAGTTGACGGAAAACTTACGTGGTCCGTTCCCGTCTTTTTCTGGGATACCATGGTGGCCCGTTTCCCCGCTTTTCCTGGGATTTCAAGGTCGTCTGCTGCCGTTGGTTTCATGAGATAACGCACACCCTGGACCGATTTTCAATGCTCAATTGCACTACAGCAAACGCAACGATGGTGCCGCTGACAATGGTGACTTTGGAGCCGTCTCGTCCGAGGGCTTTCCGACTGCGTGTCATTGGTCGTGGTGTCATACTCTTTATCGTGGAGACTTCCGAGCCATAACAATCCGGATGTGGAATTTACCGACGGTAGTACCCTTCCGCGTTGCACGATGATGATTTCGTGCTTGTATTTGACTTCCTCCTTGTGTTGCGCGACAAACACTAGCGTATTTTCCGGTTGTCTATGCGGACTTGTATTTTCATTGGCCCATCCTTTCGTGTGTACCATGTGCGCGTCCTTGTCCATAGGTGCCCTCTGACGCTTGATTTACCCAACCTCTTGGTATGAGCGTTCTCGTAGTTGCGTTGGCCCCTGTGGGCCTTGTGCGCTTCCTGATCAATTGGTGTCCCTGAACCCTAGATTTGACGCAACCCCTCGTATTTTCGTTGGCGTCTCCTTCCGTGCGCACCGTGTGCGCGTCCTTGTCCATATCGGTAGGTGTCCGTTGACACCGCAAGGCGAAAGGTGGTCGAGGCGGTCGAACTCCTCTCCAGTGCGTCTACAACAGCTACCCACGACGACGCCGAGGGCGACAGCACCGCCGCCACCAACAGCAGCACCAACACAACTACCACCTTGCTAGAGGGGAGGAGGGACAACGGCTGTAGCGGTGGCGCCGGTAGTGGTAGTGGTGACAGTGGCAGCAGCAGCAGCGGCAGCAGCGGCAGCGGTGGCGGCGGTGGTGGCATCAGCGCCAGTCTTGAAACCGCCGCGGAAGTTTCTCGAGAAAGTTCTCGAGATCGTTCGTCTTTGTCGCCGTTCAGAACAGCACTGCTTGCCGCGGATGGCGCTTGCGTCGCTGTCAAGAGGGCCGAGACCGCTCTTTCGAGGGCAGTGTCGCTCCAAAGATCTCTGCCGGGGAAGGTGAGATCTAAGCATGTGAAACGTGCACAAGAATATTCCAGACGGAGTTTGTTTATGTATGCGAACATTGTCAATATGTTGGTTTTCGTGTTGCCGTTCCGTTGATTCACTTTTCACCTTGGCGTGTATAATTGATCCCATCAGCAGAGGTCACACACAGAGAAGTCTTTTTTTGTGTTCGTCGCGTTGCTTCTTGCGTTATTTTTTGTCGTGAGAAGGATTCAGCCGCCCCTCGATTGTTGTCGCCATTGTGCTGTTGCCATTGTTGCTGTTGCTGTTGCTGTTGTTCTTGTCTGTCTTCCCACTGATACCGCTCCGGTCTTTGCTCAATACCCGTTCAACACTAATATTGGAGCGGTGAAATGCCACTGACTTGGTGTCTTGCTCGAGCAAGGTCCACGCAGAAGATTGGTCTCTAAGAGCACCGTGAGCGCGCACGAACAAGACATATCGACCTGACTAACTTAAGCCAGGAGGCGAAGGAATTTTCAGCATGTTGTACACTTTACCGCAAAATGGGAGAAATGCTCAATAGTTTTTTTGCGTTGTTCCCCTTGTGTAGGCCTTCAAAAGTGGCGCACGGACACACGTATTGTAGTACGAATCTATACGAACTTTTCCCACGCAAAGTCTTTGTTTATTGCACTCGTTCACCAGATGTCCAGGGCTTCACTGTCAATTTTATGTATTGACCGCTGATCCTTGATTTCGGTACTGCCACTGCGTGTGTCGATCAAAAACACGCCGTCCATCATCAGAGGGATCTCGTGAACGATATGGTTGCCGCGTGCGGCGACGAGGAGGAAAAAGGAGGGGGAGAGGTGCTCGTGTCGGCCAGGCCCCACAAGGAGTTCCTGAGGGACTTGCTTCTCGCCCAAGGCATCCAGAAGACCCCCGGTTCTGAGCTGGACGAACTCTTGGCAAGGTACGGGCGTCTGGTTCTGCTTCGGTTGCTCGTTCGTCTCGCAATTTAGCGGCGTTTTGGTTTCCCATCGTTGGATTGGTAGCTGTTCCTCGGAAACGTCGGGTCGGGGGTGCGACAAACGTGCGTATGTGTGTCTTTTGTTGTTGACATTGACCGCGCGTACCGGCGCCAGTCCAGTGCCGTTAATAACGGCAACCGCTTCTACAGGCCATGATCCAGGACCTTGTGGGGGCAGTGTCGGTCTTTATTACTAGACGTCTGTTCGTTCCTCCGTGCGGTGTGTGTTCGAGGTAGCGGCATGTGTATCGACAGAAGCGTAAACAGTCTGATTGTATAGTTTGAATGTCAGGACTGTCAAGCTTAAGAGTCGCTGTGTAGCCACATATTATGAGAATATAGTGGAATGTTCTTGGTCCTTTCTCTCTGGCTGTAGAAATGTTCTTTNTGTGTTCGAGGTAGCGGCATGTGTATCGACAGAAGCGTAAACAGTCTGATTGTATAGTTTGAATGTCAGGACTGTCAAGCTTAAGAGTCGCTGTGTAGCCACATATTATGAGAATATAGTGGAATGTTCTTGGTCCTTTCTCTCTGGCTGTAGAAATGTTCTTTGTGGATAGTACATTAGCCCGAGGATGTGTGATACGTAGGAAAGTGCATTGGTCCGTAGGAAAGTGCATTGGTCCGTTCCATGTATCGGTCCGTGTTCGGGGTATATGCGTGATCGGGCGGATGCTCAAGCGTGATGCTGCTGGGATGCTGTGCACCCACCCAGCTCACTCCACCTTTTGACCTGTCCTCCTGGTCCAAGGTCTCATCAATACAACATCTTTTCCCCAGAAGCCACGAGTTTACCAACACGCTATAGCGAGATCAGTCGACTGCTGCTTGTCCCCTCGGACTGTACGTCAAGACTNCTTCTGGGGAAAAGATGTATTGATGAGACCTTGGACCAGGAGAACAGGTCGAAAGGTGAAGTGATGCTGCTGGGATGCTGTGCACCTNCGTCGCGGTGCCCCCTACGAAACGGTAAACTTACCAGTCTGCGTGACACAACATCATCCAGCACATGTATCCAACAACAACGTTCGCAGACCCACGAACAAGCGGAACGCGCTGTGTGGTTAAGTGCTTCACAAGCCCAGTGCACGGCCTCAGCCCAGAGTCTGTCAGTCTTCGGTAACTGCACATGCCCAAACAAAACCTTCGCCTGAATACGAGCCGCCATTGCAGCTGCCTCAATCAATTCCAAACCACGCCCTGCAACACCGTTGTATTGTGGACTGTAAGCCGGGGTGAACTCTTCCTTAATCAAGAGCTCATTGCACACTGACGCGAATTTTCCCCTCCAAAAAACTCCCCCCCATTGTCAGATCTAACCCTCGTANCAGCTCACTCCACCTTTTGACCTGTTCTCCTGGTCCAAGGTCTCATCAATGGTCTACAACATCTCTTTNGTGGGCCTGCTGGGGATCATGTGGATGACCCATCTCCGGGTGATTCGCAGCATGTTTTTGGTGGTGAGAGATTGGATTCGATTGAGACACAGTTGTCCCAGCTCACGAGAATAATCAAGTCGCTTGTTGGGCAACGAGGTGATCAGGTGGAGTCCTCTGTTGGTGCTGCTGCGCCGGGAAGCGGCGGAACAGAGTACGGGGTTGGTGCGCATCAATCGGATGCAACCAGTGGGACTTCGGGAGGTACGGGCGGCGATGTCCCAGTCCTTGGCATGTCCAGCGTTGGGTTTGGGAGTGGTATTCCTGCAGGCGCAGGCTCAGGCTTGAACCCCAGTGCAAATGATGTTATTCGGGTAAGGAGTGGTGGTCTCTTGNGCACGGAGGAAGATTGATCACCTTGCTTCGTGATGAGTGGGCCTGCTGGGTATCATGTGGATCACCCATCTCCGGGTGATTCGCAGGATGGTATTGGTGGTGAGAGATTGGATTCGATTGAGACACAGTTGTCCCAGCCCACGAGCATAATCAAGTCGCTTGTTGGGCAACGAGGTGATCAGGAGGAGTCCTCTGTTGGTGCTGCTGTGCCGGGAAGGNCCTGATGCATCTACAGTAAATCGTTCCTCTGTTGGTGCCGCAAACTTTGAATGGATTGGAATTGGGAGTGGAGCACCAGGTAGCCAGTCTTTCATTCCGCCCCCGTCTACTCCATCGAGTGGGTGGTGGCGACATGCCGCCAGTGGAAACACACTGATCCCTAGGANAATCGGATGCAACCAGTGGGACTGCGGGAGGTACGGGCGGCGATGCCCCAATCCTTGGCATGTCCAGCGTTGGGGTTGGGAGTGGTAGTCATGCAGGCGCAGGCTCACGCTTGAACCCTAGTGATGTTAATCGGGTTGGGAGTAGTAGTTTCTTAGACCCAGGCTTGAACCCTGATGCATCTACAGTAAATCCTTCCTCTGTTGGTGCCGCAAACTTTGGTTCGAACGGAATTGGGAGTGGGGCACCAGGTAGCCAGTCTTTCATTCCGCCCCCGTCTACTCCATCGAGTGAGTGGTGGGGACATGCCGCCAGTGGAAACACACTGATCCCTGGGGCCGGCATTTCAGACAAAGGAGAGAATTTGGGTAGGCGCCCTTTTAAAGTTCCCAAAGCTCCTGTTTTCGACGGGACTGATGTCTCGTATCCATCGTGGTCGCAGAACTTTTTGCTGAGTGCCCGTCACAACAATCTGTATGAAGCGTTTGTGTCAATGCATGACATTCCGATTGCAGACATTGGATTCGATTTGACCCCCTTGGTAGACAAAGGATACAGCGTAGGCGTGCTGCGCCAGGCAGAGATGGCATGGTGGTTTCTGTTTGGTTGCATGAAGCATCTGAAGCCTTGCGATAACAATGTAGAAGGGATTGGTTCCCTAACTTGTGAGGTAACGTTCTCTGGAACCCTGGAATTGGTACGTGCGAGTCCTGACAGCGAGTTTACTGTAGAGTTGGAGAACGTATTGCACTCTCCCAACTTGGGATACAACCTCTTTTCTCCCAGTGCAGAGTTCGACGGTGAATCATGCAATTACCTTGGTGGTCTTGAAAGAGTATGACTGCTTTCGACGAACAAGTCACTTGTCATGAATTCGATGGTATGCTGATTGCGACTGCGTATCGTCTCGAAGATAATTCAATTGGTTCGGTGTTGGCTGCCCTCACTCCTTCGAACCCCAAGCATGAAACTAAGATGGATGTGAACGAGTTCCATAACATTTATGCTCATGCCCATGAGGGATTGCTTCGTACAACTGCAAAGCGTGAGTTGACTGGTGCATTGATTGCTTGCACGGGATGTTCGATGTCGAAGGCATTCAGGAAAAGAATTGCTCGTAAAACTAATCGCAGATGAGACAAAAAGCTGGGCAGAGTTTTTGTTGACCTGGGAGGACGGAAGGACGTTTCGTCCGTAGGGGTAAACATTACCCCATGATAGTGAAGGATGGTCTCACCAGACGTACATGGCTGTATTTCCTGAGAAAGAAATCAGACGTTGGGGGTGCTTTCAGAAGTTTCCTTGCTAGTGTGCGTGCTGATGAAAACCTACCATCATTGGTTGAGATTGTTAGATCTGACAATGGGGGGGAGTTTTTCAGAGGGGAACTGGCGTCAGTGTGCAATGAGCTCTTAATTAAGAAAGAGTTCACCTCGGCTTACAGTCCACAATACAACGGTGTTGCAGAGCGTGGTTTGGGATTGATTGAGGCAGCTGCAATGGCGGCTCGTATTCAGGCGAAGGTTGTGTTTGGGCATGTGCAGTTACCTAAGACTGACAGACTCTGGGCTGAGGCCATGCACTGGGCTTGCGAAGCACTTAACCACACAGCTTGTTCCGCTAACCCAGACAGCAAGTCCCCGTATGAGACGTGGTATGGCGAAGCTAGTCCTGCTAGACCGTATCCATTTTTGAAACCGGCTTACTGTAGTGAAGCTTGCTATCGTGTAGGTCCTTCGAGAGACCACCCGCGTGACTGTCTAGAGTACTTACGAGGGCAGGGACTATTCAAGAAACGAGGGATGTGACATGGGAGGCATTGCCGTCCCAACTACCTCCACTGCAACCATCTCTCTTGCCAATAGAGGTAGCAGGGAAGGGAGGAGAGGAAAGTGACGATGATGTAGAAGCCGAGGTATGGCCGCTTGTAGGAAGAGGAGTACCCCACAATCTTCTGCGACGTGATGAAGCGGTCTCTGACGGAGAAATCGATGAGGTTGGCAATCTTGATGCAGGCAGTGTAGGCCAATACCCCTCTGTGCCATTTTTCGCCCCCGATTAGTTCCCCTAGTAGCGCAGCTCCCCCTGTGTCTTTTCCAGCAGACGAGTTCACCGATGAGGGAGAGCAGGGAGGGCGGGAGACAGGGGAGGCAGAATCGGCGGGTCCGGGGGGGCGGGAGGTAGAGTCGGAGAGTCAGGAAGGGTTGGATGAAGAGTTCGTGGAGCCGGGAGGGCAGGAGGTAGAATCGGAGACACTTCCCCTTGCTACGCACGTACCATCTTATCGTCGTGGGCAGCATGAGCTTGTTAGTTTCAACACTGCTGCGAATCAGAATGATGAAGTTAGAAATGGCAGAACCCGTGCGCAAACTCGGGCCGTAAACCAGCAGAGCGTATCATGGCCACTCTAGGACCTATCTCCGCATCTGGAAATTGTAGAAGCACTCTTAGTGGAGCAGAGAGCGTCTGATACTATGGAACTGCCGAGAGAGCTCATTCAGGATGTAGAGACAGAGCGTGGTAGCTACCGAGAAGCCCGCCAGTCAAAGCATGCCGTAATTTGGGACAGACCCATGTCTGCAGGGTTTGAAGGCTTGTCAAGAGCAGGAACGTTCGCGTTGGCAGTAAAGGCCCCGATAGGCTGTAACGTGATAGATGCTAGATGGGTCTACAAATGGAAAGCAGACGAAACAGGCAAGATAGTGAAGGCCAAGGCCAGGCTTCTAGCGAAGGGCTTCAAGTAGAAGCATGGTGTGGATTATCTTGAGACTTTCTCGCCTACTGCAAATGCTGCATCGATTCGTTTGCTGGTAGCATTGGCGTGCAAGTTCAACTTGGAAATTTTCCACTTTGACATTGAGCAAGCGTTTGTTCAGTCCGAATTGGATCATGAGGTGTTCATGAAGTTGCCTCCTGGCTGCGAGATCATGTCAGGAAAGGTCATCCGTTTAGACAAGAGTTTGTATGGACTGAGGCAGGCATCTAGAACATTTCACAAGAGACTAGTGTCGGACCTGAAGACAAAATGTTTTTGAGCAGTCTCTGTCTGACCCGTGTGTTCTCCGTTTCATAATGGGGGACGAGGTGATGGGTATGGTCGCGATTCATGTGGATGACATTCTGTATGCAGGATTTGAGAGGCTTGCGAAGATGGTTGTGGAAGCGCTAGGTGACTCTCTTCCCACGGAGAATTTGGGCGAGGTCAACTTCTTTCTTGGTTGCGCATTTAGTCGCGACCCCGAGGCTGGCACGATTGAGATTTTCTCAAGAGAGTTACATAAAGAGTGTTCTCGAAAGCTTCAATATTTGTCGCACCAGCTCGATCCCCGATTTCCCTGCTAACGATTACAGTGCATTGGTCCGTTCCATGTATCGGTCCGTGTTCGGTGTATATGTGTGATCGGGCGGATGCCCAAGCGTGATGCTGCTGGGATGCTGTGCACCCACCCAGCTCACTCCACCTTGACCTGTTCTCCTGGTCCAAGGTCTCATCAATACAACATCTTGTCCCCAGAAGCAACGAGTTTACCAACAGTGTGTGTTGTGGGCGCATCAGCCGGGGTCACACACGAGGAAGGAAACACAGCAGTTTTTGGTCAAGTATGTGGTAGGTACCTTTGGTGAATCGAAGGCCAACAATGCTGGAAGAAATATGTGGGCACGGACAGTTCCAAAGATTTTGATATTTTGATCATGCGCGCAGCTTTGTAGCGCATGGCCTGCGTTGTGCCGCGCTTAACTGCCATTTATTTGCCGGGGTGTAATCAGATAAGAGAAAGGATTGGGAGCCGAGAGCAGTGCGTTGTATGGGATTTTGAGTACATTTATAAGTTGTTTTCATTTCGTTAGCCTGCTAACAGTCTCTTTTGCACGTCCCCGTGATTTTTTATGGCATTCGTTCCAGTTACGACGAGGAGCACAGACGAGAGGAGTTGAAGGATGAGAGCGGCGCCGTCGGTGGCGGCGGTGTCATGCCACCTCCCCAAACCAAAGAGTATGTGTTGAGGTATGTCTATATACTTTTTTCCTTGCGCCCATCCCTACTACTGTCGTTCCGTTTCATAGACGCCTGTAGCAAGTAGGTTTGTTGCTCTCGAGGCGTGCACCCCCGAACTCCTTGTTCTCTTCGTGACCCCCGAGCTCTATGTTCCCTTCGTTATCAGCGAAGGCTTTTCTTGGTGGGAGAAGGGGATGTTGTTTCAACTCGCGTATATCTTCTCTCTTCATAGTGGAGGTCCCGATATAGTGCGGTTGAACGATGTTGGGGCCGTACCGCCCTTGCGGATTAGGCAATACATGCGTTCGGCGTAGTCGGGGCAATTCAGTGCGAAGAGATTCTGACCGCGCTATGTAAATAGGTAGTCCTGCACTGGAGAGGGACCCTTGCTTAACTCCGCAATTTTGCCTCGTGCGTATTTAGTATATTTGGTCCGTCCGGCTGTGACCGTTTTTTGGACCTGTGCTAACTCCTCTTGGTTCTAACTGCGCTGTTGATGCTTTCCCGTATCGTACTCGTTACTCGTTGGGAATCCACCTCGTTGCCCTCAAAGCAGCCAAACCCCCACAACACTAGCCCTAGCCATAACCCGAACCCTGAATTAAGCTTGAGTCAGAACCTAGAGCACGGTTTTTAGTTAGAAACCTACGTAAGCATACGTAGTCAGAACATATCGTAAAAGCATTCCAGTCAAAAACCTATGCAAGAATGTGGTTGCAGCCAGCCTCCACGAAACGGCACCCTGACTGGCACACGTGTCGAACGTTGTGCTCTGCCTTTGTCCATGGAAGGTTTTCGCGCCGGCTGGACCGGCACGGGCGTTAGATCTCAGTGCTGAGCAGAGGCCGGGGACGGTTTTTTAATATTGAAAATGAATAGGATCAAGGAGGAACAAACAAAAAAAAAGGGAAGGGCACAGGTCCGCTGCTCCTATATAGCTTCGAGGTACTCACACGTTGGTAGTTGTTTGATGGCTTGTTAGAGCCTTCTTAGGCCAGGTCCGCTCGGTGCTCACTTGGAGAGTGCGAGGGCGGGACTGGGATTCTGATATTGCTTCAAATAGGAATTCAATGCCTGCTTGTATCGCAGCTTACGTCGGGTAACCGTGCTGCTCCTCGAGGAATTTTGTTTTAGGTTTTAAATTATGTATGCGGTAGTGCAGAGTTTGAGAAAATAATTCGGCAAATCTAAAGTACTGCCACAGACTAACTAGGCCCAAATATCTATATCCAACGAAAAATCACAATATAGATGCAGCGCTCATACAACGTTGACACACATGCTCATAACCCTACTTTTCTCCATTACACAACTGACCCTAGCCCTAACCGTGGCGCAATCTATGGTGCGATGCCGCAGGTGTCAGACGCCGGCCCCTTTCTACAGCCGCAACATTGGTCGCGGCCAGATAGAGGCGTACCCAACTCCTCCCAGCAGGATGTACGCCAAGACGGACGGGAGCAATCTGAGGGTCGCTCTCTCCCTTTGCGAATCAGATATTTAGGGTTGGGGTGTGCGTTAGTTTTTTGTTTACCCTAGGCTTGCGGTCGACTGGTTTGGAGATGCCCAGGGGGGATCCAACAACAGGTTCGCGGCGGGTGTACCGATGGGCCGGATTTGTGCCCAGAACAGGAGAGCTTTCGTTGTTTCGAGCCCTGCTTGGTGTCCCACTATGCCGAGTAAGACAACCAGATGTGTACACTCAGATTTGCTTGCGGCTCGATGGTTTCGTCTTTGTGTTTGCGCGAGACTCGGCACCTTGTGTATCTTCCAGGCCTCGCTCAACCGAGAGTCCACGACCCTACACACCCAACAAGCCTATTTGTAGACGTGCGCAAATGTCTGTTATCCACGCGCAAAGAAGTGCTGGTCTACATTTACGGCTAGAAACGAATTAGACTGACGTTGCAGACCAGAATCAGACGAGAACCAACCCACTGTAACTCCGGAACATCAAGTGTGGTTGCGCTCTCAACTGGGCACTGCCGCCTACTTCCATTCCCACAAATATTGAAAGTCTACACATATGCACAATCTGCTAGTCTTTTCCTCTCAACGACAGTCACATAAAGATCTTCTCAACCACCGTTACACAAGGGGTATTCCGCCGCAAAGTAAACGTTCATTCCCCGTTCACGGTTACAAGACTTCAACAATTCCGTTCGATTGGGGTATTCCCTAGCGGGTGTTTTTTTTCTGCGATTGTATGTGAGGTTTCTGAGACCCGTGTTTACATCTTCACCTCAGAACAACCATCACCAATCCTGTACCACATTGAAGACGATGACCACCCTTCCCCGCCGACTCTCGTATTTTTCGTTGACCTCAGGTATGTAGCGCCCGGAGTTTAGAACAACGTCAATTTCGGTTGAAGGCTCAATCTCTTATTTTCGGTATAGAAACAAGCCTAAATCGTTGGCTTTCTTGAAGGACGTATTATATTCTTGGGGCCTTTCGGAATACCCTGGTTTCTTCAATGTTCTTTCTTATTTGCCCTATGTACGTTGCCTCTGTCACAACTTACTTATTACCTCGCATATGTTATTGCCCCTCAAACACCCTTTCACACCCACCCGAAAACACACAGACTCGGGTCGGGTGGTCGCTGCAACACGTTCCTTATTTGGCACACTGCATAAAGCAGACAGTATAGACAATATTTCGCTTGAAATACACGCAAACAAGCGCAGCACTCCCCTACGTGTTGGACACTGTACGAGACGAAGGAGACCAGCAAGCGGCGAAATGTATAGACTACAATCAGTGCTTCATTGCCATCGTGCAAGAAGAAACTTTATGCACGTTCCACCCGCCCCTCCTGCATGTGTCCCAGTATTACCCGAGCGTGAGAGTTCCCTCCCCTCTCTTGTAACCAGAAAAACTGGTTCAAGGATCGACATCTGACAAACCAACAGGAGGGTGGACGTAAAATTGGAATCAAAAGTATCCAGCAGTTTCTCTAGACTAGTCTACCCCACTCACTGCTGAGATTCGAACACGCTCAACACATCCGTTCGACTGGGTTGTTATCTCCAACTGGAAGACTTTCAGTGATTGCATGTACATGTTCTACAGTATCCAAGTCTCGACCCTGGCTGACGTCAGATAACGGTACATATATTCGCCTGATTGAGAGCGAAGTATCTGATTGAGAGCGAGAGCCAAAAAAATTGAAATTTCGGGTCCAGACGCCTCTTGCCATTTCTTGGCAAGTAGGGGACGGGCTATTCCAAGAAGCGGTGCAAATTGAAGGTCTCATCAGCAGCTTCGCGAGCATATGCGTGTCATCGTCATCGGATGCTGCAGCGAGGAGCTAGACAAGTTGCTAGATTTGCCCAGATTGGCTATTTCTGCTCAAACTGTTTCAGGGCGGTATCGCGTCGGGCGGTGGGCTCTGCTGTAGCTTCTGCTCCCCGCTGTAGCTCCACAACGAGAGACTCCCACAGGATGACCAGGGTAGCGGCTTGAAGCTACGGGCTAGCCCTTCAATTCAAGCTACACAGCAAGCTCCACCTCTCAGTGGTAGTCCGGCTACAGCGTATCGCGCAATCTCGCTCTCAATCAGATGCTACGCTCTCAATCAGGCGAATATGTTGTTACATGCGGTAACAAACGACCTGTAGAACAACTGCAGGCTTGGAGGTGCGCTGGTGAGCCAACAGCCAGTCATCATGCCAATCATCGTCGGGACCGTTTCAGTGGTCGATCTCCCGCCTCCGAAGACTTGTTTCTCTTCGATGTCCTCCCGACGTTGGCTCTCCCGAGGCCGCCAGTGCTGCTGCGCTTGCCGGAGCTGCTGCCGCCGCGGTCTGCCCTCGCCAGTGGGACAGCCCCGCTCGCGCTCCCCCCTCCACCTCTTGCTACCCCACTTCCTCCTCCTCCTCTTCCTCCTCCTCCTCCTCCTCCTCGTCCTCCTCTTCCTCCCCCCCCCCCTCTTCCTCCTCCTCCTCTTCTTCCTCCTC